ATATTACAATGCATTTCAGCAAAAGGATCGAGTCGTAGCTAATTACAAAGCTAACATATAATAGCATTGCATTAGCAGCCCAAGAAATTCCTATTGAATTGCATACATCTGAAAATAGAAAGACATGCTTGTGCTGAAACTTAATTATCTTGGCAAAAACTGTGAGGGCTAGATTCTCAGAAGACATAAACACAAAGCTCTGCTTTACACTCCCAAGGATCTAATTCTTTGTTTATTCAGACAACCTCCATCAGATAAAACTTACCATTTGGATTGACTAATTTGCCTCCTTATTTATAGTATCTACTAGCTAAGTAACACAATTACTGCTTGGTTTGTGAGTAGGGAAAAGAATACTGCTGATCTACAAATACAAGGTCTGAAAGAGACAATCAGGGTGCTCTGCCAGGTTAAAACAGTTCATGCTGTTGCATTCCACCCTAGGCAAGAAGACAAGCCTTTTTCAAGGACAGGTCTGACTGAAGTGCTTTTTTATGGGTTCAAAGTAAAGCATTATGGTAAAAAAAAATGAATACAGCTTTGTTTGTTTCTTCAGTCATCGTTAGCAATAGACATAAGGGTATTCTGGTTTTCAGCCCATATGGAAAGACCATCAACACTTTCTGCTTCTGGGTCCTTTGCCAAAATACCATATCCCACATGCCTTTTACCTTAAAACATAAAAGAAAAGGTGTTGTTCTGGTCAAATAAAGAAATAATTTTTACTAGCATACGTCTAATGTTAAAGCTGCCTAAATCCTGCCAAAGACATTACAACACCATCTGCAAAACAGATTTTCATTAAATTGATCAGTTTAAAGTTAAGCAGCTAGGCAGATGATGCTTTCGAACTAACCTTTAACCTTTAACCTTCTTAAACTGAAATCAGGTCAGTCCTTTTGGGTAATATCTTTGCCGCTTGAGAACACGGGAGGTAAAGTGATCTACCAAAATTTAAAAACCACAGCATTAATAATGTTGTGGATCAATAATTTGTCAATAAAGGGAAAACCAAGGTAGCTTCTGAACAGCTGAGTATTACTCTGCTAACTGCTGCCTGTCACTTTCCCTGAGCTCCTAAATAGTTGCATACACAATGTAAACTGCAATAAATATACAATAAAAAGCAATGATTATTGAAGGTATTATCAGCTAAYTGAATAATATTTTTGATAGAATAACTTCAAATACTCATTTGTGATTAGAAATTGATCATGTCATTCAATTACTTGGTTAAGTAAATTTTCTTTTCAGCCATCACAGTTTACTTTACAAAAAGGCTACCCTGTACTTATTTATTTATGAATAAAAGTATTTGGAAACTATTTTATGAGCACAGGACATGATATATGCAGTTCCCTGAATCAAAAGCTATTTGACTAAGCTATAAAATGGCTGCCTTAAGAGCAGTTCCAGCTATATGTATTTCACATCCACAGAGACAGATCACCGTCCTGCCTCAGCTTCCCAAATCTGCAGAAGTTGAATGCTTCCTCCTGCAGAATGGAAATGCACTCTGTTGCTATAGAAGCTTTCTCTGTTTACTTGTGGAGACACTGAATGCTTCTTGATGGATGCTGCCAAGAACTTGCAACTCTTCTGTGGTTTAATTTGCTAATATCAAGCTCCACAATTCCAAAAGTAAGTCTTTGGGAAATTCATTTAGGCCAAGCTGAGTTCACTCGGGGTAAGGCCGTCTTTGTTCTGGTTCCTAGCAGCCACATTACCAACACCATTTGAATACTGCACTTCTGTAAGGAACAACCAGGCCATTTCTTCTTTAAATAACTTAGAAAACAGCTAAAGGTTCCACTTTGCCACATTTAGAATCTAACTCTAAAAGTGACATTTCCGTACTGCCTAAAATTATACAGCTTCAGAAGAGAAGCTCTGATGTTCATGGCCGCTTTAAAAGGTACAACTATGAAAAGACATCCTTTTATTCCATCAATGGTTAAGGAAAGGGAGAAAAATCAAGCTGTTAAGGCAACATTTATAAAAAGAAAATTCACAAAACAATAACATTTAAATAAATATAAATGACTAAAGGAAAACTTTGAGGTACTTGACAAAGCAAAGGAACAAAGTCACAGATTCTTTTTCTGTGTTTTCAGATGGTTTTAGTATTAAGGTTTTTATTGCCAAACCATATTTACAGCACCTTAATTTTAAAAGAGTTAAGAGGAGCTGCTTGAATATAAACACAATTCATGAATATTCGATATCACTCCCAAGGMTATATCTATTATTCATACAAATTAATGTTCTTTTTTTCCTCAGGTGCTCTAAAAGTTTATCTGATGTATCAAGAGAAAAAAAGTTTACAACTCTCTTGGTGTCAACAGCTTCACCAAGACCTGACAAAACTATCAAGTCTGCTAGCAGATAACTTAACAGACTTGCAAAACCACATTTATTTCCACCTTGAGGCCTGAACGTACACTTACAATTAAGAGTAGTTTTCTGGGTGGTGTACAAAGGCGTTACATAGAGCACACACATCTAGAACATTTTTGTAAYTTGGGACACATTGCAGCACTTCATGCCAACMCCAAATCTTAAAAAAATACTAATACTGCAATTGAAATTTTAAATGTGACACCCCTTTSCTTCAAATTAACCTTAAAATGAAATTAAAATAGTGTGTGCACGAGTATATGCCATCTGCTTTCTGAGAGTCATTAAAGYTAGTGGGGTTCAAATCCCCAAGCTTCTCTAAGTCATGAGGGACAGAAACTTTTTAACAAGCTGAGACACTCACTAGAATCCTAGGGACAAGTCCTTTAAAAACACACACATCAGGAGAATTGGAGTCCTATGGTTATCAGCCAGACACTTTCAATTGTCCTGCTTAGGCCATGAAGCCTGGAGGGTATTGGGGAGTTTATGGGCTCCATAAACTTTTGTTTCCACTGGGATGTCCTTAACTGACTGAGAGACTGAGCTCCAAAGGCTGGTGCTGGTCACGGTCTGTGTGTGATAGCTGCACTCATGGGTGCTACTGAGCTGTCCCCTCTAACAAACCACGATCTGCCAAAGCAGACTCGGCAGCAGGACATTTTTAGTGATGAGGGCTAAGACCTAATTCTCTCTCCCTTAGCAACCCACATCAGATATTTTGTAGGACATGGCATAAATCTGAACATATTTGATGACCATTTCTCYAGGGATAGGGTTGAGTAGTGAAGAGACAGTACTGTTTTGAGTACAGAGTTGGTGCACCTTGTGACTTCACAGCTGTGCCTATAGCTTTTTTTAAAAAATAGGCAGCTGGCATCTTATTTTCAACATTCTCAGAAGCTTTGGCAGTGAAGCCATCTGAGAAAAGCTTCTGTCATCCCTTCTACTCTATCATTCCTATCTGTGGCACTGTTTGCAGTAGCATTTCTTTGAATGGTGGCATTATAAGGTAAAGAATTGAAATCATGCAGGTTAACACTCCAAAAAAAACAGATGGGGACCAAAAAATTTTTTTTTTAGAACTCCCTGACTTGGAGTGTGGCTGCACAGTGTAAATAGAGGGAGCAAGGAATGGCTTCACAGATGACAGGGAGCAGGAACTTCTAAAAGGAKTTTTGCTGCTGAGGCAGACCAACTGTGTCACAAGACTCTCAGCTCCTTTTGTACTTTTTGTAACAGGAATTCAGATCTTTAAAAYAAGCCAACAAAAAATAACACCATCTAGAATTAAGGAAAAATGCAATTTAAATAAAATACATTATTAAATTAGCAGAGCAGTCATCACTGTGTGACAGTATAACAGACTAAAACTTGTGTTGCTGCCATTTTTTGCTCACAGCAGACACRCCAAGGTTACAACTATCAGGTTATAAAATGAAAATCCCTGTTACTGCCTGTGCAGCATGTGTTAGCTCAGGCCAACCATTTGAACATGGCTGAACACCAGAAAAATGTTATTTCTTGCATGAAGTAGAAGTCTGTTGAGACTTTTCTGTATTTGTTCTGTATGTTCAGGTTTTCAGCATGATTAGAAAACCAGCACAGTTGTTGTAATCAGCAGATGACTCCTGATAGTTTAGTTATCACAGATTTCTAGTATAAATCAATAGATAACACTTGCAAAATGGATTTTCTAATCATATTTAGAGCTTGTTACAGTGACTAATGGTTTGCAATATTTCCTGAATTTTTATATCCCCTAGACAAAAGAAGTTTTTAATAAGTTACAAAGTTATTCATCTTGGAAATGAATGTGTTATATTTTGTACATGTACCAAGACAATCAAGCCAATCCAGTAAACACACTGCAGAAAATAAGTTACCCCATAATTAGGGTTTGGAAAAAGTCATGACAAGTTGTGTAATAAATGGTATTCATCACTCCCACATATTCATTATATCCACATAGTTTTTTCCAGTAAAGATAAAAATATAGTTGCCATTCTACTAACTTATTTATCTACACCACACCCTTTCATGTTTGTGAAAAATCATTACTGGTTTGGGAAAGAAGGGCAGACAAAAGGATGACGGGGCTTACTTTTGAATATCCTTTGTAATAATGTGGCATATTGCATGTGCTTACTGAAAATACCAATGTAAAATAACTTGGCTGTGATAGATTATGGTTGCAAACAGATACATATGCCAGAAAGTGACCTCCTCCCTTATGCATAGTATGGAAAAATCACCATTTTCCATAATCTCTGTCAAGTTTCCCATCAAAATGTAATGGACAAAGTCTGAAAAGGTTATGAGAGATGTAAAACCCCTYCAGCCATTTATTACGAGAGAATTTTAAAAAACAACAACTCATGGACCCTGTGTTTGCAGAAAGCACATCCTAAATGACCTCCAGGTGAATCAGCAGGACTCACCTGGAGCGCTCCGCCCTGACTGACCTGCAGTTTTTGTTTGACTGTATGCGTGTTCAATAAACACGTACTCTTCTAATTAACCAAAGCCCCGTTTGACGAGCACTGAAAGGGTTAATTTCCCAGCCCACTTGGCGCTGGCTGGATTTGCTCTCACTGGCTTACCTTGTAGAGTTTCAGGGCTGCCTCATGCCTGTGATTGGTCGTGTGTAAGCGCAATTTATCCACGCTGTTGGTGTAATAGTCACAGGCGTTACACTTTAGGTGAACTGGGTTGCCAATGGCAATGCACTTCAGCCTCCACTCATTAGTTTTGCCGCCTTCTTTAATGTGAGCCACCAGTTGATATTTCTGCATATGTTTGTCAGTCTTGCAGTGGAGCTGGAAGTTTGCTTTGAGCTGAGTGTTGTAGTTACAGAGCTTGCACTGGTAGATGTCTCCAATTACAGCCCTCCACTCCTCTTCGGGGAGCGAGCGCTCACTGCTCACATGCACACTTAGGGCCTCCAGGCTGTCAGAGGTGAATTTGTTGCAAACAGCACACTGGAATAGCTTCAGCGCTGGGTCACTGATATAAGGTGACAGCTCTCCTGCAGTAAGGAGGGACAGGTCATCACCCATTAGCTGACCACTGGCAAGCCGGATTTCAGGCGGCAGCTCATTATTTACTACAGGAAAAAAAAAATTAAAAGGGAAAGTAGAGACCAGCAAGCATAGCACACACAAAGGAATCCGTAAAATAAAGCCTTGACAAGGAGTTTGCTTTCTCTAGAGCTTAAACTATAAAAAGCTGTAATAGGATTGAATCAGGATCAATTACAATCATCCCTTTCAACTTCTAAATTCCCTCATCAGATAGCTTTAATTACTCCTACTGGGCATGATGTCATTCTGGAATTTGTATTTTCAAAGGCATGAAAGTTGATCAATAAAATAACAAAACAGCAATGCTTTTGTAACTTAAAAGGCAAGATTAACTTACACAGTGCTAATTGTAGTTTTGTTATATCCTTTAAATGATGCTAGAGGTAGGTCAATATATATATGTATGTCTACAATATAGTAATTAGGTTAAGAGTATCTACACTAATTTAGCTACTTTTGGTACCAGACTTTGGCATTGCTAATTTAAAAATATACCCAGCGAACATCATGGGTACAATTTAGGTATGTCAAAAGGAAACATTGCAAATTAGGAAACTTTGAGAACTCTTTTTAGTACAAGTCTGGGCCATTAGGTAACAGATTGACAATGCACTGCTCACACATGAGCATTTGATTCCAATTTGCCCTTCTCTTACACTTGGAATACAGACAATTTGCTAACTATAAAGGGGYATTGTCAGGTAAGAAAGGAAAGATTGCATTCCTGCTGGAAAATGTTGACCTACTCAGATAATTAAAAACTGAAGAAAACAGAGCTGTCTTTATCTTTTCTAGTTTGTTAATTTGATAGCACCTCATTATGTGATCAATTAATTTCATTCTCTACCTGTGGACCGGCACACAAGGGTGGAGGAGAGGAAAATGGGATCACAAGGATGCAGCCACATCAGGGGGCCAAAGCAGAGGCAGGTGGAGCTCCTTAACCTCTTTCTGGTTGAACTTGAAATGCTCCAATCACTCCTGCAGCTATCACCTAGTATGTGACTAATTTAGCTTTTACAGACACAACTCGATGCAAGAGGACGAGCAAAACAAAACAACGGGTTTTTGTCTTCCGCTGGAGCTCTGGTAACTGTAAGTGACAAACTAACACAAGAAGGCAAAGAGATACTGACCAAGTCCCGGCGCCAAAGCCGCAGCTGTTGCTGGATCAAGCTGGAATGGATTGATCATCATCTGCGGGTCCGCTGGGTTCTCCAGTTTCATTCCAGTCAGGCCTATGTTCTGGGCTAGGTAGTA